GCTGCACCCCGAAGTCTCGACCTCCCTCGCAGCCCCGCGCGCTGCCAGCAGCGGAGATGCAGCGCGCCCGCCCCAGCCCACCAGAAGAAGCCCAGACTCAGCCCGGCCCTCACCCCGTCCTCCCCTCGCCTTCACCCACGGGCTCCTTCTCTTCCTCTCTCGCTGTCCCACTGAGAACTGGTTTTCATTTCTGGATCAGTTCATCACAGCGCCCGAGGCAGCCTGGAGCCCCGTCGGGGGTAGGGCTGGACCTGCTGCTGGCTCCGAGCCCGGGTACGAGATCAGGAGGAAGCTTTGTCAGCAACCTTAAAAGTTGGATGTTTTGCCCAGGGTGCACTGTCAGGCTCACCTGGACCAGAGCAGCTGCCTGCAGTGGGCGATCAAGTCCACGCTTCCGGCCTGCCGGGTAGGAGTCTGGCAGGGTGGAGGGGCCGACGGGTCCCGGCCTGTAGTGGAGAGGCATGGAGGGCGTGGTCCTGTCGCCCAGCCCCTCCCGCTGGCTCCGCTGGAAATGCGGAGGCGAGCCGGGGCCTGTGCGTGTGTGTGTGTGTGTGTGTGTGTGTGTGTGTGTGTGTGTGTGTGCGCGCGCGCGCAAGCGCAAGCGCGCTACATTTCACGGCAGGTGACCTGAACGTGTCCGCGACCAGCTAGAGTTAAATCCCTGGAAGGTTATTCGCGGAGACTGCGAGGAAGAAGTTGCCAAGGCCGATTTGACCCAAGTAGGGCAGGAGTTTGGGAAAAAAAAAGCCCTGAAGCAGGCTGAGACTGACCGGGCCCAGCCCAAGCCGGTGCCCACCGACCCACACAAGCCCCTCTCGTCTCTTCAAGTCCAGGAGGGGAGTCCGGGAGCAGCGCGGGCCCCGGGCACGCCTCGGTGGTGTCTTCTCCTCCGGAGCGCCGGGTGGACTGGCGTCGTTCCCACCCTTTGGAGGTCCCCAGGCAGGGCAGGGGGACGGAGCCCTGGACAGCTGGGTGCGGAGCGCAGACGGTGACTCAGCGACGCGCTCAGAACGGAGAAACTCCCGGAAACGAGAGACCAGACGAGAGGAGAGGAGGGGGTAGGACCTAGTCAACCATCCCCAGAGCCGCGACGCGCGTCCGCAGGGATCCGGTCCTGCGTCTCCGCCGCCCTCCGACCTCCCCCGTCTTTCGCTGGCGGGGGAGGAGCAGCCGCAGTGCCACGGTCACGCGCAGCGGGACTCTAGCTCCCCGCGGGAACCAAGGGTCAGATCTGCCCACCTCTCCCTTCTGCTCGTGTGTATTTCCTTCTCCACTCCGGATCAGGACTTTGGCCCCTAGAAGCCGCGAGGAGGAGGATCTGTGGTCCCCGGGATGTCAGCCTTGGAGCGGGTTGGCTGCGGAAACCGGCGGGAACAGTTCCTCCCCCACCTTCTGCATCCCCGCTTGGAAGGGCATTTCCAATTTGACCCGAAAAGCCAGTGTCGCTAAGGCTGAAGAGGGGAAACTGAGGCACAGGGACGGAAAACCTTGTGCGTGAGTTGGTGGCTATGACGCTTGCCTGGGGTAGGGATCCTCTTTTCTTCTGGGGCCCCAGGCTGGAGGCCTTGAGTCCGCGAGGCTGGCAGGGGTGGAGTTGACTGGAAACAGTCGGCGAAGGGAGGTGGGGCAGCCCGCTGGGCTCTTTATCCCTGGCCTGGGAGCCGTGCTCCTTTCCCGGCTCGGGAAGTCCCAGCGGGGAGGAGGCGAAGGGCAGAGCCCTCTGGCCCTTGTTGCAGCCCGCACAATGCCTCCTCTGTCCTGACTGCCACCTCAACCCTTGGCCCCCTCACCTTCAGGGCTTCTGCTCTGCCCCCATCACTCTCGTCTTTGGCCTCCCCCGACCAGGCTGCCTTTTCCAGAGCCCTTGCCCTTTCTCCTTGTCTGAAGAATGCTATTCTCTTTCCAAAAGCTTGGTCGAGAGGCAAAGGCAAGCCACTGCTTTGTTTTTGACACATGGGAACCCAAATCCAGAGAGGAGGGCGCTCTCCCCAAAAGACAACCATCCCCAGAGGAGCCTAGAAGCAAACCCCCAGGCTGGAAGGCCCTGCCGCTTGTTCTAGGCCGCCCCTGGTGTGACTTCCCATTCTGAGAGCTCCCTGGGTGCCGGGTGCCAGGTGCTGCAGGCTCCACGGCGGTCCAGGGAGCAGATGGACTGAGGAGGGTTCTACAGCTCTGGTGGCCTTTGCTTGGTTTTCTGTTTCTCTGAATAGTTGTGGTGACTGTAGCTCTAATGCCGGGAGCATTCTTGCAGAGGTTAGGGTCTCTACTGAACCTTTAGTCTCTAGCTTCCACTGCCCCTCACCAACCTTCAGGCCTCTACAATTCAGAGTCATTACTTTGGGAACATTGTCCTCTTTTTCATTTTTGTGGTACTAGGGATGGAACCCAGGACCTTCACTCTGAAATACATCCTGGCCCTTTTTTAATTTTTTCCTTTTGAGATACGGTCTTACTAAATTGCTAATTGTGCTGGGCCTGGTGGCGCACACCTGTAATCCCAGCACTCTGGAGGCTGAGGCAGGAGGATCACCGTGAATTCGAGACCAGCCTGGGCTACATAGTGAGTTCCAGGGCAGTCTCATCTACATAATGAGACCCTGTCTCAAAAACAAAACAAAAAAAACTAAACTGCTAATTGCTTGGGTTGGGCTCAATTTGCACTCTCCCTGCCTTAGCCTCCCAGAATGCTGGGACTACAGGTATGCACCATCACACACAGAGAAAGAAAGGAGAGAGAGAGAGAGAGAGAGAGAGAGAGGGAGAGAAATAGAGTGTGTGTGTGATGGAAATGTAACCCAAAGCCTTGTGAATGCTAATCACCGCTCTACCACTGAACTATATCACCAGCCCAAGATTTGTTGTTTACGTTAAATTTAAATGTGTTCTGCGTTCCTTTTTTTTTTTGAGACTAGGTCTTGGTAGTTCAGGCTGGCCTTCCTTAAACTCACTGTGTAGCCCCAGCTGGCCTTGTATCATCCTGCCTCAGTCTCCCAAATGCTAGGATTACAGATGTGTACCACCACGCTCGGCTGCCTGACTGGTTATGCACATGTTCTTTCTCAGGGAAAACCACTATGTTTTCAGGACCGTAATGTGAATCACTGTTTCATATTTCCATGGGAAGACTGACTGAGTGTGCATGTCTGACCCTGTGAGTTTCAGAGAAAGGGGGTGTTAGGAAGCCAGGCCTACCCTCCTCCTGGTGTTGCTGAGGTACAGTCTATTGGAAGAAGTTGTCTGTGTTTGCAGCTAGACTTCCACATTGTTCTGGCTACCTTGACCTTCAAATCCTGGCTTCTACCTTGGTTTATGGCATCTTCAGCTTCCTGAGGAGATGGGTTTGTTCCCAAGTCCTTGGAAGAAGAGCTGAGTTTTGCATTGGATGGTGTATTAAGGACCTATTTCTGTACAGATTTAAAGCACCACAGAGCCGGGCGTGGTGGCGCACGCCTGTAATCCCAGCACTCTGGAAGCTGAGCCAGGAGGATCACTGTGAATTCGAGACAAGCCTGGGCTACGTAGTGAGTTCCAGGTCAGTCTCAACTACATAGTGAGACCCTGTCTCAAAAAACAAACAAAAAAATAAATAAATAATTTTAAACAAGCATCACAAACACATCATCTTACATTTCTGGAGGTCTGAAGTCTGCAGTAGACCTGGCTTTTCCCACATGCATTTCTTAGCTCACGGCCCCTTCCTTCACCTGTAAAACCAGCAGGGTAGCATCTTCAAATCTTATCTCTGCCTGGCTTCAGCTTCCAGGTGTCAAATTTCCTGTCTCCACTTAATAGGGAGCCTGGAATTGCACTGGGCCCACTCCCATAACCCAGGATAATATCCCATCTCAAGGTCCTTAATTATACCACAAAATCCCTTTTGCACTCTAAGGTAACATATCCACAGGTTTCAGGCTTATGACATGGATATTCAAGGGTCATTATTTTGCCAACCATAGATGGGTAGGGAAATAGCCTGGGAATTGTGTCCTTATTTGGCTCCAGAACCTTGTGTTCTAGACCTTCTTTTCCATCTCCCTTTCCCCGGATCTACCCAAGTAAATGCAAACCAGGACCTTGCTCTCCCCCAAATGAACATTTGTGGAGTAGAGTTAAAAACATCCTCACTGGGATTGAGACATGATTTTGTAGACTTTGTGGTCTTTGACTCATCCAGCACAAAGAAAATTGGTTTCCATTTCTGAAAATTACCCAAGAAGGAGAAATGGTATTTTTGCTAAACATAGTAATTACAGGATTGCAAAACCTCAACTTTCCACCTGAGGAGGGATTGGAAGCAAACCAGCCTGTTCGTTTTCAGCCTGGCAGAATTCCCCACATTGCTTGGCAGGAAGGGTATGCCCCTTGAACATGGCACTCTGGGCACCCACGGAAACATGTGGCCCACCCAGCTCCTGTCACGTGACCGGGCAGCCCAGTTGCTTCTGCTCTTCTGTGGCACGGCTGGACCGAGCCAGCCTTACTCAAAACCACAGGCCTCAGGAAGTTATCACTCACTGGGAACATTCCATGGGCTCCGACTGACATCAGCTCCTGTTTGGGTCCAAAGTGGGCTCTGATGCCCAACCCCACATCCTACCCTGATGAGGGGACTGCTGCGCCCCTTTCTGCCCAGGCTTCAGCTAGGTCCCCCTCCACTCAACTCTGCCTCTCCCTCATGTGCCCGCAGAGGCTGGTCTGGAGACCTCCAAAGGAAACAGTCCCAACTGTCACACGAGGGCTCAGGAGACCTGGGGACCAGGAAGCCAGACCTGGCACCCCTGAACTGGGAAGCAGGAAGGCAGAACCAGCTGCTTTTATCTCAGCAGCCCAGCCCTCTTCCATCAGCTGAGGGGATGGGTGTGTGCTCAGTTTTCCAGGGGCTTTTTGTTTTCCACTTTCACACCTCTCAATAACTAAACCGTGTCCTTGGGTGGTTCCCAAAGCAAACAGAGAGGACTGGACGTGGTCCCAGGCCAGGCTGTGCCTTGCAGATGACTATCTGAGGCTGTGTCCTGCCACGACCACTCCAGTAGAGTCTGCGTGACAATGCCGGTCACCTGGCAGAAACCAGACCCGAGGTATCGTCCCCACGGGGTTAAGCCTCCTGGAGGTCCTTGGCACACACCGCATGCGAAGTCAGCCGTGAAGAGAATAGCTGGCCTCTCTGCCTGCAGTTTGGGGACATTGGGTTCATCTATAATTCTGTTCTATTTTGTCTTTATTACTATTTGTTCATTATCTGTAGAATTCTGGGCCCAGGAAAGGTTAGGAACAATTAGATGTTCCTAGAGATGGGGAGGTGTTGGGGCACAAGAGGACGGGCGGCCAAAGTGCTGACCCTGAGCCCCGGACTGTGAAGTCCTGAAGGTGATCCTGAAGGTGACATGCTGAAGCCAGTCCTTTGTTTTACAAACTTCCCCTTCTGACTGCGTATAGGTGTGGTCTTACCTTGACTTAATGGTCTTAGCTTTTGTGATGGTATATAGGTGTGGTCTCACCTTGACCTTGTGGTCTTAGCTTTTACAGTACTATTGTCTATCTTTCTCATGCCTGCCTGTGACTGGAATCACTCTTGAGGTGTGCCCTTGAAACTAGTATATAAACACCTAGAGTTAGAAATAAAATTGCAGCAGCATTTGCAAACTTCACCTCGGTGTTGAGTGCTTTTGTCTGACTGTCATCGCCGAACCTGCTCCCACCTTTCAGAGAACCTGTATCTCCTCGTGAAATCCCGTGTTTGCTGCCCTACGGTCGGTAGCAGTGTCCCTCCATCTGAGAGTGGACCCTTGAGGCTTTGGGGGATGCTCTCTGGCGGTCCCCCTCCGCTCCCCCTGTACCCAGACACACACCAGGCAGCCTTCCTCCACTGAAGCCAATTCGTAGGGGAGCAGGGGACAGGAGGGGTGCAGGCCTCCAAATTCACCAAGCTGGAAAAAGGCAGAGAGCCCGGAGCGTGGCTTGCCTGCTTCTCTGCTCATTATCCACATCCCAGAATAGAAATTTCGCTTCTCTGGAGGCTCGTTCTCTGAAGGTCAAACCCTTCAATCCTTTCTAGGCACAAGCTGGTAATTTAAGTAATGATTGTGCGGGATGGGTTGGCCAGCTGGGGCTGGGGTTGCCTTCCCCTCACTCTGCACCTTTGGGCAGCAGGAAAGGATCCTGGGCAGATCGAATCTGACAGGAGAGCCCTTTCCAAAGGCAGAGTTCCCGTGTCCTCTCTGCTTGTTGCCCTCAACTCCTGGTCATGGCACCGCGACTGGCATCTTGAAAGTGAGTTAAGATATCATCTGTCCTCCAGGGCGCCATCCGATGACCCCAGCTGCCCCCTCTAACAGTACCTGCTTTGAAATGGAATTCAAGGGGCTGTGGACGTGGCTCAGTGGTAGAGCACATGCTTGTCATGGATGAGGCCCTGGTTCAATTCCCAGTATCACACACACACACAATTCAAAACTGCATGGGCAACGGAGTGAATACCTAGCGGGGGGCTGCAGATTAGGTTTTTAATGTTTGCAAACGAACTAATTCATGAAAAAAATAGTTATAGTATGTA